TTAATTAATTGTACATATTAGATGTTAAAGAAGAGTTTTTGAGGTGACATGTAAGTCTTGAATGTATTAGCAATTGATCGTGTCGGCTTCTGTGGCATTCCTTTCACTGATACTTAGGTACATGAGTATTTTAATAACTAACCGTGATAATTGCATACTATTTGCATGGTCAGGATGAGTATCTGTACTATGAAGTTGAAAATTCATCCGCAATTCTACTCCTTCAGGCTTGTCAAAACTAATCTAACATCACGTACACCATGGACTTGGTAATCATTTTGAGTAATTTTTGCACAACTATGCCCTAATATACTACGAGTGTATACATTAGATACATACATAGAGCAACCTTGCACATATAAGTTGTAACTTAAAATTATGACGTGAGATTTATTAGCTCACCCTGCGTAGCATGAGAGCTATTGAATTCCTCCTGTCCGTCTGTCTGTCTGTCTGTCTGTCTGTCCGTCTGTCTGTCCGTCCGTCTGTGTGTTCACGACTTTTTTGCATCAATTGATGCTAATTAAAAGTCCCCTTGACCATTATTGAATAGGTTGGGCGCACCATTGGTATCGAACAATCCGTGGCCCAAATGGTGCAAGTTAATTCAGCAAATAGATCGAGATGGGACTATAATTCTGGAATAAGTAGCACCGTTAGTACCGAGCAATTGGTTATTCAAAATGATGCGCAACAATTGGGCCATCAATTTCCCCCCAAAAATCAATGATGCGTAACAATTGGGCCACTTGTTTCCCACCAAAAATCAATGATGCGTAACAATTAGGCCATTTGTTTCCCACCAAAAATCATGTCATAATTGTGTTCTCTTTGTTCCATTATTCTGCATCATTTACGCTAGAATATAGAAATTTTATAATAAATAACTTGCGAAGGGATGCCTACGCACCAATGATGCAGATTGTCGGGAGAAAGAACCATACAATTTTTCCAAAGTTTTCAAAATTATATATCTGCCCTTGGTCTCTCATGCTGCTCAGGTGGTGCATACTACTTCGGCCATTTTGTCATTTTTCCGTTTATATTGCACCATTGGTGCAAGAATATATAACGATTGTGATCTCTTTTGTCGGGTTATTTCTGTTAGGTTTTTTCTGAATTCACCATCGACTGCACTTCGGTCGTTTCTGAATTAAGCATCGACTGTACTTAGGTCTTTTATGAATTAGTACGACGATATTCCGATTATAACGCACCATTGGAACCAAATGATAGAATTTTATACTTATTTTGTGCACTTATTCGGCACAATTGGTGCAAAATTATTTGCATCCCAGTTAATATTGCAGGGTGAGCTACTTCTAACGTTACTACGGTTTATTTTATTAGATTTATTTTATATGTTATAAGTCATTATGTTGTCGTATACTTATAATTATAAGTCAAGTTACTTCTACATATGTCTTAATTATAAGTTCTGAGCTATAATAAATATCCAAAATTATTTATTATTATTTAACTGGCTGAACAAATAGGGGGAACCCTGACACTTGCAATATGGGGACAGTCCATAAAACCAAAACTTCTTCTGGCATGAAGCTGCTAGAAAAAACGTTGTATAATGATTATTTATGCGCATATTTCTTTAACCGGCAGCAGTTAATGTTAATGTCTTAAGAGCCACGAAGAAGAATACTTAATCGTAGATAACTCATTAATTACATTTCTAAGCGAGTTGAGACAATAATGTTTTGTAATTTATCGGTAAAAGTTTACGGTTTATCGGTAAAAGTTTACGAAACCTTTAGTACATTTATCTTTCCATAGTATATTTTAGTATCGGTATCCTAATAAAATAATCTAATAAATGTTATGGATTTCGTTTAGATCGATATTATAAAATGCTATCATTACAAATATCCTTTGCCAATTCAACTGAAACTTGCAAAGCCAAAAGAAATGGTTTCAAGGGCTGAGCTGATATGGTTAAATATCAACCATGTTAGAAATTTTGGAATATTTCCTTAGGAAATTTTTCTTTTTACCTTTTCCCTTTACATCCTCCGTGTCCAACGGGACCGTAACCTACGTCCGTCCATCCAAACTGCAACAATTATGGGAACATGTCGTACACATTATTTATTTTGCCCATACAACTGTAACCGTCATATTGTTCATGTATCTGGATTTTGATTTAAAATATGAAAGCAACCATGGCCGGCCTTTGATCGACATAATGCGGAGAATGGCTATTCTTTACGATCTGTTCATTGGTCTTACAATGGCCGGATTGGTGTCAGAACGATGGATGTATCCTTGGGCTATTCCTCCTGTCCTTAACAGCCTCCAGATAATGAAAAAAAGACTTAAAGGTACGAACAATATATCTAACAAGTCGATGGTGTCAAGCGTTTCCCTCCGATTTGGCTGAAATTTCAAAATTATGTGGTCCAATTTGATTTGATTTGATTTAAGCCTTTATTCACGTGTTAATAGTTATCAGTTACAAGACTTGTTTAAAAACTATGACCAAGTCAATACAACCAACGTTTCTTGAGGCAGTTTGTGCGATGGCTGGATTTACTCAAAATATTTGAGGTTAAAGTTGAAAAATGGGTTATTTTTCCCTTTGAATGGGAGTGTGGTTGGGTTTCTCTTGGTAAAAATCACCCATTTTTTCAACTTTGACCTCAAATATTTTGACCCATTCTAATCATAGCACAAACTGCCTCAAGAAACGTTTGTTGTACAACAAGGCCGAGTGTACTGTGCAAATCCGTTTCGCATCGATGTCACCGAATTTAATAAACAAAACTCCAAATTTACTTTGGGAGAAAAGACTAATATGCCATAGCTATTTTTGAATTATGTGCAACCACTCCCCCTTTAAAAATTGAGGAGTAAAATCGGGAAACATGAGAAATTAAATGCACATTCGGTACAATAGGAATAAGACCTCAACTTGCATTTGACATTTGACTTCCCCCTTGAGCACGGATATTTTGATGCATCAAGAGTTTCAAAATTCGAAAATTGGCGGTTTTTTAACCTACACATAAATGGCTAAAAAACTCATGGTTGCGGTCATTTCTCGGCTGACAACCTGATGCCAGATTTTTCTTTTTGGAAAGGGCTACATTTTCAGCCTTTGTTGTTCGAAGAGAAATGGCCGCAACCATGAATTTTTTGGGGTCAAAATTTCTAAGGGAGTGGCTTATACGGCAAGTGCCGTAACAAACGAGGGCTAATGATATATCAACACATAATTTTTTTTTTGTATTTTGATAAGCCTACATTTAATTAACCCAGTATAGTTAATTAAATGAGACGCATGATTGAGTGAGGTGGACAAAGTGCGACGGATACGGCACTGACGCACGAATCCGCGCGATGGTGGTGGACCCACCAGGACCCGAGTTTAACACTTTGTCTTTGTCGAAATATGGAAAATGCTTTTGTGGAACACTTCGTCTGGTTTATCTCTGTATTGACTTGGACCACATAATTTCAAAATTTCAACCAATTCGGATGGTTACACTTAACACCATCGCATTGTTAGTACCTAATTTTCTAGTGTCGGACAACAAAGACAAAATGGCACGTATCGTCCTTAAAGCAGTTATTCAATGCTGTCTTGCCTCCCCGGTGATTTGTCCGGTACTATCCGTCATAACAAATATCGACGCATTGGTATTCATTACTGAAGTGGATATGAACAGCACGTTCAAACTTCAATGGTCAAGGGTTACATCGACTTTATCACACGGTTTCCGATTGGGAACTTTGATAATCTTCTGCTACGATATGGCATCAAGCTTCTCATTCTTGGCTATCCTTGGTTACATGCTTGTGGATGGGTTGAAAAGCGTTTTATCTCGTTTGAAGAAAAGGACTTACGGATACTTTCGAAGACAACAATTGTTCCAGACATGGGGCGAGATTCAAATTTGGATGGATTTTCTCAACTATTATTTTTGTTGGCTACATTTGCTAGGGCAAATTTTTGCAGGTGCAAATCTTACAGTCTTTACAACATACTGGTCAATCAGGTGCACATATGTAATGCAAGAGAGTGTCATTTTATACCTGCTGGGCCCTTACTCGAGTATCATGTGTTTTCTTGCTATTGTATTTGTGTTGCCGAAATTGGCAATGATATATTCATTTTCAGAAAGTATTTTGAAGGATTTGAGGTTCCACGCGAGGACAAAGTTGGAGCGGAGACAGTTAAAGGGGTTAAAACCGGTTGGGTTTCAGTTAGGGTGGTGTGGTTTTTACAAAGGTGAACAACAGAAGGCATTAGTACAGTATATCGTTGATTATACAATTAATGCATTAATGACAATATAGGATTGCTTATAAATTTATGTTTGTCACTAAACCCTTAAAAATGTCATGAATTACGTACCGTCAAAATTTGAATTCAGTTCTTGTGAATTTAGGACCTGGATTAGATAACTTTTCACATATGGGGTACTTAAGAAAAATAGCGTACTGTCTTTTGAAGAATTTTGAATCTTAATACACAAGCACCGCAATACACAGTTACTTGTACTGCTGTAATAATTTTTGATTGGTTTTTGATTTAGTTTTATACGAGCACAATTTTTGCAGACTAATATATGTATAGAAATATGCTATGAAAAGATAAAGATATGTAATGATAATGCTATGCAATGATAATGTGTTATAAGGATTGCAGTGTAAAAATTGCAATGCAATGATTGCCATGTACCGATTGTAATGTAAACCCAAATACCTCATTTTAAGGCTTTCACCTCATCGAAGAAAAAATATCTGAGTGCATATACTGAATTGATATAACGACGAAATTATAAAATCGTGCGATTAATAAAGTCAGTTAAGTAGAATACAGTCAAGGTTGTCGAAGCAACTGCCCAATCTTTTATCAAACACATGATTACCTTACTCCTTTATTCATTTATCAGAAGTGATTGATATGAGGTGAAGCAATAATGTGGTGATAAGCTGCATACCTTTGTGATCTGTCGATCTCACTCCCTTTTAAGTTGGATTACATAAATTGCTTCTAACTCAGTCTGACTGAATAAACGCGAGTGCTTAAAGACACACAATTTTTTCTGCGACTAGCTCAAAATACAGGAGTAAAACTATCCACTTGACTGGTATATCCAGCTTTATGTAAAATGTGTTCTGAATACCCTCCAATTAAACCTAGTTCCTTTAAAGGAAGTAAGTCTCCTTCCATTACTATTATTTAAGGACCTTACCAAACTAAAGTTTTGTCCTCTATACTCAGACTACTATGAGTATGGGCTATATCTACACAACTGGTACAGGAAAAGGCACGGTGCTCCTCCCTTGAAACTTGCAAAATGGGTATATATTTTTCCCCTTTTGCTTAAAAATTTCCTTTATAATGTGTCCGATGTACATAGATGAACGAGTCTGGAGACAATTACTGCGAAAAACTGGCTCGACACGGAGGCGCCCTGGTCCATTCTTCCGGTCTGGGATATGGTGAAAATCTTTGGGGTGGTCCACAGGCGAAGGTGATAAGGAATTTTTAAAATGGATTCTATTTTAATAAATTAAATTCTACAAACGTAGGCATGGGTAAAACACTTGTGGCCCGAAAGTGCAGACGATTATATACACAAATGTGCTGTCAGAGAAGCAGTGAAAGCGTGGGATAAAGAAGTCGAGCATTACAATTACAATCATGGCGGTTTTAGCATGCATACTGGTCACTTTACCGCTATGGTTTGGAAAAGCTCGACGGAGCTTGGGATTGGTGTATGCGTCCTTGGAGGGACAATCATTGTTGCAGGATGCTATAAAGTACATCCAAATATGCAAGGGCAGTTTACACAGAACGTGCTTCGCTACAGGTTTATTTGGCAATACTTAGTTTTCAGGGTCATCTTGTTTTAATATACGCGTATGTTCAGGGATGTAAGCGATGAGACAGAGGAGACTAAGGCGGTAGATGTGCCAAAACCAGTTGAATCCTTACCAGCAGGCGATGTCGATGACGGTGCTGGATACAAATAAGTCGCAGCAAAAAATGGTGGTTCCATGCCATCGAATATGGTATTGGCTGGACAAGATGGGAAGCACGACGTTTACGTAGCTCGGGCTAAACATATGAATGGCATTATACCGGGCAAGTTGATTGTTGGCTACGGAACCTTCGTTGCGTACGATGGCGCAGAGCATGGGAAAGGGAACTACGAGGTATTTCGAAATTTCATTACAATTAATTCTGTTTGAATACATGGTAAGCGTGGTTTTTTAATTCAAGGTCCTAACTGGAGAGAAAAATTGCTTTGCTTGGGTTACTTCGCAGGCAACGGCAATTCCAAAGAATGCCATTGTCGGGTGGTTGGTAATCTTAGTGTACTATTTTACTTGAGAGTCTATATTGGTACACTTATTTCCGTGGTTACAGGTAAGGACCCCAATGGCTCTGTTTATCACGTTGGCAAGGGAATTGTCAATGATGCAACTGCGGTTGGCAAGATTCTTGGTGGAAAATTATACGTATCTTACGGTATGTAAACAAACTTTGTTGATACTTGAATTCATTACAAAACCCCCGGTTTATCATTTAGGTGGTAAGGAACACTGCCAAGACAAGGGCTTCCAGATTCTGGTGACTACAAGTGATACGACTACTGCCGATGAAAAAAGTGAGGTAGATGAACTAAAAGACGATGGGGGTGTATCCGATGAAAATCCTGTGGTGGTGGATACTACTTCACCAGAGATGAAACAGGCTTTCGATCAAGTGTGTGATGCCAATGGTACAATCGGTTGGTACGAGCTTAAGGATCTGATCGGTTGTATCAATTTGGGTGAAAACTCGGTCGCTTTGGATAAAGTCATTTGTAGGATGCTGGTAAGTAAATGAAGATTGCTTATTTCAGATGCGTCCAAGATAATTCCCGCCGAACTATGACACTGTATGGTCGACGCTCTGTACAACATATTTTTTTGATTGCAAATAAGCTGCAATAAAAAACAGTTTTGTAATTCTCCAGTGCCTTTCCAAAAATACATTAATACTATCAATTACTCATTGGTTGTAGATTAAAGCTGTAGGAAGTTCCGACACTGAAAGGATTGGATTTCTTGGCTACGAAAATGCGATCAACGGACTCAAACGATCCATTGAGAATTTTCTTGCCGTTGATAAGGACAGAAGAGGAAATTTGGACCCCTTCGAAGTGAAAAATGCTTTTTCCAGAGACCGTGATATTTCATACCAGGACGTCATGGGGTTGATGGAAGCTGTAGGGCAGGAAAGTGGGAAAATGTCTTTGTACGGCTTTCTTCTGGCAGACCTTCTCCTCATCACTTTGTCCACTTCGGAAGTCGGCATTGATGAAGATGATAATCCAGCCGTTCTGGAGTGGATGAACAAACAAATGGATTTTTTAAAGAGTGGAAAACCATTGAAAGATATGTAAAAGGAGAAATAATTGAGTATATTAGTAAACTTTGCTTGCAAGAGCTTATGTAGCCTATTCACAATGAGAGGTGTGCATTTAACATAGCTATACCATCTGATCTTGACAATCGGATTGTAAATTTTGACGTATGGTTTTCATAATGTGAAATAAAGTTTTAAGTTGAGATATGTACCAAGCGAATAAATGGTTGGCCACCCAGATGGACCACGCCAATGGAGAGGAATTGTAGTTACTCAAAACTATATACATGACCAAATTTCATGAAATATTTTTTGTATAAATCACAATCACAGTGAAAATCACAGCAGAAAAGGAAGTTTTTGTGTGGATCATATAACCAACCTCATTTTGGCAGAGGCAAAATAATACTTATTATTACATGGATGCATGTACATATGTAAAAATGCAATGCTTTTGAAGGCGTTTTTATCCGTTTTATGTTTGCATTGTCGATTGCTTGTGCTGAGGGAACGAGGATTATCACATTGCTTGTTTCATTTATACCGTGCAAAGTTTATTGAAATGTAATATTATTTATTAATCTTATCTGAATAGATAAATCCTGCTATCATGTTGAGTAATTTATTGCGCATCCTTCCCCAGCTTCGCAAACAATACGTTACTCTGTATTTTCCTTCCTTGGGCTTCAACATTCGTTCTCCCCGTTAGTTTATCATTCATCGAGAATTATGTCAGACACGCTGGAAAAATCCATTGAAATCCTTGAAGCTAATTATATTCCTTACTTGCACGAAATTTTGGAAGCAACCGTGAATCTATTCGAGAAAGCAAAAAAGCATCGGGACAAATGCTTAATATCCAACACCGTTGGCACCGTTTCATCCAGCATTGGTGGCTGCATTGGTTTCGGAGCACTACTTGCGGGCATTTTTTTCACCGGAGGGGTGGCAGCAATTCCAATCCTAGCGGGGGTTGGAATTGCACTGGGGGCGGCAGGATCAATTACTTCCCTCGGAACTGTAGCAGTTAGTCGAAGTCTGGAACGGAGCGATAAAAATGTTGTGGAATTACTACTGGATGACTTCAAAACTCGTAGGATTCAAGTGTTAAACATCCTGTTGCAATTTTTGGACGAATATGACGATTATGTGAAACTGTAAGTTGCAAATTTATGGTTTATTCTGTTAAATTTCCAATTGCTCAGTAAAGTACCGTAGCCTATTTTTTTAGGTTTCCAAATATACTAAATTTTACGAATCAAAATTTAGCAAATTTAGGGCTCTGGAAGGACGAAAAAGTTACCATGGATGAAATTAGGTATGTTAAAATCACTAGCTCAATTTGTCTATATGCGAATTTGTAATTCAAGTTGCTAAATTTCTACAAAATGTTGGGAAAAAAGGGAAAAGTTTTGGGAATTTTGGGAAAAAAGATCTCATCCATATCAGATTGGCATATTATTTTGCAAAGTGATCAGTTTATACACTGCTCGTCAAAAGTGATCGCCTAACTCCATGCAGCAACTTTGACATCATGTTTCTCTAAAAATACTCGGTATAATCTAATTATTATTTTTTTTATTTTGAACGTAAATTAGTTAGCAAACAGCCGTAGATTTTTTTTGTTAAAACTTGAAAAATACAATTTTTGGGGAAGAAAAGGTGAGCAAATTCCAAAACGGAATTGTCAAAAGTCATCGCCAAAATCCAATTTTATTGCACTATCTTTGAAACAACTCCAGGTAAGTCAATTATTTCTATAATTAGTCAAAGTTAATGTAATTTTAATAAATCGGGTGCCAAAACTCAACAAATTAGACGATATCGTCATTAAAGAATTGATTGGAGCCAATAGGCGCGACCTCATTAAACCGCATTACGGACACGTCAAAAAAAATCGAAAAACGCAGTTGCAAATAGCGTCTTTGGTCAAATTGCCTCGAGGATGTTAAGGGAGGTACAAATCGGCAAGATTAAATGCATATTATAAACGACAAGGGAAACCGGTAATTATTATCTTGCGCCAGAGGAAGCCGTCCGTACGAAAAGTGTCAAACCAACCCCAAACTTTTGAAAAGTAAAATATTGGTAGACGTCAAAATGACTTTGGGAAGTCAGTTTGTCCTCCGACTATCCGCAGGGCCTTCAAAATGGGGGCCAAAAAATATTCAGAGCGACGAAGGAGACATCGATTTCATAAATCAATCCAAGAAAAATCCACGCCTTTCGTGCCAACACGTAATTACGGTTCAGAATTTCGATTTGATTTCTGAGCTGATAAAGGTCAACTAGATCCTAAAACATTGATTCAGCCTTAAAACTAAATCCCAAAATCTCTGATCCTTGTTTGTTGATCTCCGATCCCTGTCCGTTGTTGGCCCCCAGTTTTGAAGGTCCTGGGGATAGTCGGAGGACAAACTGACTTCCCAAAGTCATTTTGACGTCTAGAAATATTTTGCTTTACGCAAAATATTTCGGGGTTGGTTTGACACTTTTCTTACAATCGATCTCATCTGGCGATGGATAATCATTGCTCGACTCCATTGTTGTTCATGATATTCAATGCATCTTGCCGATTTGTATATCCCCATAGTACCCTCGACGTAGTTTGACCACAGACCCGATTTACAAATGTGTTTTTCGATCGTTTTCGACGTACTCGTAATGCGGTTTAATGAGGTCGCGCCTATCGGCTTCACTCAATTTTTTAAATAACGATATCGTCTAATTTGGGGAAGTTTGTTTCACCTGATTTACTATTGTACAAACAATTACCTTACCTGCAATTGAAAGATAGTGCAATAAAATTAAATTTTGGCGATGACTTTTGACAATTCCGTCTAGAGATTTGGCCAGCTTTTCTTTTCCAAAAATGTTGTTTTCCAAGTTTCAACAAAAACCATTCTGCAGCTGTTTACTAACTAATTTACCTTCAAAATGAAAAAAATAATAATTGGATTATTCCGTGTATTTGTAGAGAAACTTGACGTCAAAGTTGCTGCATGGAGTTTGGCGATCACTTTTGACGAGCAGTGTATTTCATAGCATATGTTGTGGCGGACGGAACGGCAAATTCGATCCCAAGTTTTAGGACCATCATTAATGATTGATTGGATTGTTTTCTGTTCTGTATCGTCTATTTGGTCACAGTAATTGTCGATATAACTTAATTTGGAATTCATTTGCGCAGAGCATGTGACAACGAAATTCTTGTCAGATATCAGGATTGTTGTCAGATACCCACTTTTTCAAAGCGTTTATGCAAATGCAATAGAGGGTGCAATGCGTTTATGCAACTCGGCCACCAATTTTTGGTAGGCGCATGAGTTTGTTTGTTGGCCTGCAAGTTTTGTGACAATATTGTGCAGATTCGACGATAGTTTCCACTCCAATGAACTATCAATCTCTATTTGATTTTCATTTAATCCATCGTCCGTGGTTCCACTCCCTTTCACCATTTGGACAAGTTTCTCATCATTTTCAGCATTTACTTTGTTTCCCGGACATGTTGCCCAAACTGTTTTTCATTCTTGAAAACATTTTCGTTCACGCATTGGCACAATTTTTTTCCGCCATGTATGTAGGAATGTTGGTGCTTATGATTGGCACTTTCGTGCGGATCACGAAAGTGCCAATCATACGTCAATCAATCGCCAATCATCATTTCACGGATCATTCTTCGCATTATACATCGTGAAATATCTACTTTATTGAATGTGAGCACGGCATTTCCATAAAATAAAATTGTAACATGAATCATTTAACAATTGAGTCAGCAGGTTCTGTTCCATCCGGCCTAAGTTTCTTGTTAGATTTGCAGTTCTGGTTCATTAGCCGTTTCCCTGGTATATTTTTCTGTTTTAGCTTTTCAGTCAAAATCGGTAGACGGTATTCTCTGTAGGGAAATATATTTTGTAATGATTTCGGCATTAGGCTCGATCGTCTTGCCCGACCAGGAGATCCAAGTCGAGAAAAAACTCGCTCGATGCCTCCTGTCGACGCAAGAATAGAAAGATATATTGTTGCTAACTTTGCCAATGCCCGAACATTTAATTCGTTTTAGAGCTGAAATTTGGATTGGATAAATCCAATAATATCCAATATTTTTTGAAAGTAAGATCTTCGAGATTTTTATCTTTCGAAGATGAGGCTTGTATGGATGGAGAACATGTTGCTCTGTTTGGCTTACAGAATGTCTCCAAAATGTTTCTCGCCATCTAAGTTGAAGGTGTGGTAAGGCTTCTTGTACCATATGAAGCTGGTTTAACTAGAATAAATACATATATACATCACTTCATATTTTAGCAGCTTAATTAACGAACTTTGTCGTACATTCGAACACGTCTAGCTTTTGTCTAGGGTCCAACAATATGCACTTAATACGACAACGGCGTCGGTTAAGTCTCCTTCAAACCTTGCCTTCAGCCCATCCAATAATTGGGGCTTCATGCAAGTAGACAGCTTGGTTGAAGTTGTAGCAATTTCTGATCAACAAAAAATAAAAAACACAATTGTTATTATCACATATGTATGTATAAATCACCGGTTAGATTATCATTTAAACATCATTCAGCGTCATAAGTATTGACGACTGCATAGTAAATTAGGCTGGAGGTTACACCGTCACCTTGAAGTAGATTTGTGGCATCACAGATCAGTTTAAGTAGATCACGAATTTCCACCATTTTCTCTTTGACCTCCATGCTGGGTGTTGGAGGCAAATTCTTAGGTTTTCGTGGACCTGTGCTTGCCTCGTGGATTAAATTGCAAACCTCTTCATAGACGTTATCCTGAAGTACAGATAAACAATTAATTTATTCAACCGTAAAGATTAACCTTCGTCCTGCTAGGAATCAGTAAAAATAGACACCTATGTACCTGTGTCAATCGCTCTAAAATGTAGAAGGTGTAGTTCCATCGGGTAGGGGCAGGTTTTAAAAGTACTTTACCCAAAACCTTCTTCAGTCTTTTTCGCCAGTAACTGGATCTCATGAAATATTTTATAATGTTGTTGGCACAATCCAAGACATCTTTTGGCCTTCCTCCTTTGGCCAGAACATCCTTCACAACGAGTTGGAAACAGAGGTCAACGCCGACCAATTTGGCGGCGGCGGCGCCAATTTTGGGGATTTTTCGGCGCGGCGCGGCGGCGCGGCGCGGCGCCTCAATGGTGAAGGGATAGGGAAATAGATTTATCGGCGGCGGCGGCGCGTAAAATTCTATCGGCGTATGGCGGCGCGGCGGCGTGAGGTCGGCGGCGTTGACCTCTGGTTGGAAACCATGGGCATAGCATGAAAATCTGAATATTTCCCCAAGTGAAATGTTCACGTTCTTCTCGGTATCCGTGTCCGAGTCGTCAATTACGCCAAGGGCTGAGATTTCATCTTCCTCCTCGTCCGAGCATTCACTTTGATCGGAACTTTCGCTGTCAATATCATTTGTAAGATCGAATTCCTCCACAACGCTTTCACCGATTTGTAATGTTTCATTAATCCAATCGCGGAATCCACATACCATATTGCTTGCCCCATCTGTTACAAGGTAGCCAATCTGTGCAGTAATAATGAAGTAAAATTTAGGAAACATTCCCATTATGTTCGGAATTGAATAGATTTGACTATCTCCTAAATAATCAAATATCAATTTATATTGTGTTAACTCAACTTTTCGTTACCAATACCTAAACTTTTCAGGCAATTTGTAAAACTATTTTTTATGTTTTACACCCCAGTGTAAAACATAAAAAATTACAACAACAACACATTATGGTCATTAAATTCCTCAGCAGCTAATACTTTTGAGACGAGGTTCCAACTTCTAGGATTTTCAGTTTTTTCGATGTAATGACATTTAATTCCTATGATCCCGTCGCCTTGTTTAGTTGTCCAAATACCTGTAGTCACGTGCACATTATGATCCAGTATTTTCAAAAGTGGGTTTTTTTATATTGGGCTTTACCTATTATAGAAATTAAACGAATTGTTAAATTTATAATCCAAGTTATACAGAGATGTCAAATTAGTATATGTGTTTAAAATTTAGACTTTAAAAGCGCACAGTTTTATCAACGGTATTATTTAATCTTCTAGCTAGTGTCACTCGGTCTGGGAAAGTCACACGAGGGTTAAGATTGGTTATTAAATTCCTAAAACCAACGCCGTTAATAAATGAAGACGGAAGACCATCAACACAGACCAGGTCTAGATTTGTATTAAATCGAGACTGAATTGGGTCAGTGCTTGAATATCCAGGCTGAGTTGAAGAAAAAAACTCTTTAACCGTATGGTTTGGCTTGACCCCAACTGCAATATCCTTATGCGACAGCTAAAATTAGAATGCAGAAAAATATTTAGACAACGTAAAATTTAAATTGGGATAGATTATAAGTACGTCAATATAATTCATCTTACCCGATAATGCCGATTTCCATTCGATTTGAAATTGCCTAAATCAAAGCAGTACAATTTGCTTGTACCAATCTCAATGCATGTTTTGCAAGTTGCGACAAACTTGTCTGACGCTTTTTTGTGGCCAACGTAGTTGAAGTGATTGTCAAATAAAACTCGAATTTGCGGCAATGTTTCAAATCCAGTTCGCTTAACGAGATCTTGTAGGCCGGAGCAGATTTCTTCTTCATCGTCTTCAACGTTACTAGCTTCCCTCGTGAGAAGGGTAGATAGATCTCTTTGGCTGGTTTTCTTTTTGATTCCTTTACCAGTAGTGGAATTTAATTGCCCTTTTTTAGAATGTATATTGGCCATTCTGAACTTTAGCTGGAATAAAAATAAAAGAAATCAAAATATAAACAAAGTTCAAAACCATAATTTAAATCTGATTAAATTTCTACTTACATTGAAGTAGAATGACCACAGAATGAGAACTGAATTAAATTAGCAACATTAAATTAACTTGTCAGCCGCATTTATGCAGCAGAATATTAAATTTCCATCAGATCCATGCGTAAAATTTTGAAGACCGCAGCCACATGGGCAGCATTTAGAGTCTCATTCGTGTTAAAATGAGAATGAAACACCTCGCTTCGCTTATGTACGAGTGAAAGGAGTGATGCGAGAAATTAAGAGAATGAACGCCAATCACATATTCGCGTTCACTCGCGAAACTACCACATCAAATATTTCATTCACACTCACTCAAAAACTTATTGCATGAAATATTTCATTCACACTCACTCACAAAATGACGGCCAAACCTTTCATCAATCATGTTCATTCACACCAAGGAAAATTCATATTCATTCACACTCATTCGCCCTCATACTCAAGTGCGTGAATGAAAGGAACAGGTATGGCGCCAGATTGGTCTTGCCCCGGGTAAAATTTGGGAAGATCGGGCGCTGGAGCTAGGAAAACCACTATCACCTCTGGCCCAGAGGTCCATTCGGCTCTCACTACATCACCCAGGCAGTACAAATGAATGATAGAGATCACAAATAGATTCCATGAGATAATGGTGATATCCAAATGAGGACGACGTCGCGAAGGCGGAAGCGAGACGAGTGAAGGTTGTTTGGCGGGGCATCCACGGACCACGAAATCCCCTAACACCCTTTCGGGCTCGGGCTACGTGTCCCCGTCACGGTCATGCAGGATGACACTACCCACTTGCCCCTTCACTACTCACAGGACATCCGGGTCATGGGACCCCCGTAGTCCCGATTACGCTGCCCACCGCAATGCACAGTCCTCACTCTTTCACCAATCACCCCCATGGTCACCACCCCTACATACCAAACAATGACCTAATTGGGGGGGGGGGGGCGTAGATCCTCCCATGCACAGAGTCCGGCGAGATCCGTCTTCGCCTGATGGCTCAGCTTGTCCTTGCCGGGAAGGGTGTGGAAGGGGGTGTCACCAGGCACACAGGTGAGGGGTATGAGTGGACGAGGCTCACATGGCGAAAAGCCTGGGACACACTTCCCTTGCCCTGGCACTCCCGCGACCCAGATGGAAGAGAGAGAATCCAGTTGCAGAGCGAGAGAGAGATACGTGGTGCACGGGTGGAAGCCAAATAGGAACTCTTAAATATTTACCAAAGTTTCCATTTGTCCACTGATTATCCATTTAACGGGATTGTTTTAGCGGATTGGCATAATCAGAGGATAGATTGATGGATCGTCATCGCGTTAGTTTCAACGGTTTTATTGGATAGGGATCGGGGAAGTAGTTGAAGTTCTGTTGTTTACCAGTAGTTCTGGTAAACAAACTTGCATCTTAAAATACAAAATCAGTAAAGCAGAGCTGTGGGGACCTAAAAGTTTAGTGCAAGGTAGCTATCACGAAAGTTAGGATAGCTGCATCCGGCACATATGTAATGTAAAGATATGTATTAACTATTAAATTTTACAGGCACGGAGATCACATATTGCGACCAATTGCCCTCGTCCCATTAGCGTTTCATCATGGCATCTGCATTCAAAGGGGGGCCGGTTCTCCTCTCGAAGTAGTTGATTATGGCCCCCACGGCGTTCGAATTCGTCCCATGAATAAGTTTTTAAAGAACAGTGATTCCATCAAGAAACGAAACTATAACGGTCTCGAATTAACCATGCTGGAGACATTCTCCTTAATGGCAAAAGAACTTTCACCAGATGTTCAGACAGAATGGAGCAGTGACGCGTATAACGTTGCGTCCCACAATTGTGAACATTTTGCATCGTTTTTAAAACAAGGACGCACTCGCTCTCGACAAATCCATGCAGTCGCACGTGGTGGCGTTGGGGCGACCATGGTTGCAAAAGTTGGACAATGTACGGCGGGAATTGTATCACTGGTTGGAAAGGTGGGCGCCAATTCGGCAAATATCGCCCTAAAGCCAGCCCTAATTACGCAGCGGGTAATGCAAGTTGCTGGCAGAGTGGCAGGTGGTCTTACCCCATTCCTTATTGCAGCTGATATTGGACTGTTGATGTACGAATTTCGTAGGCAGAAACCAAACCTAGTGTTACTCGAGAGGACTCGGCGGAAGATTGAGGAAACTCTAACGGTTCTTAATTCTTGCCTGACTGAACTAAAAATAAGACAGGTGGAAGCGGGGGAGACTTATGTTTAAATAAGTGTAAACAAAATTATTACCGGCTGGTTTCTCATTTATGATAGCCTCTCGCCTTAGTTTTGTCATTAAATTTATAGATATTAAGTGCTTTAGAGACAGGTACTACTTGCTTCTTCAGAAATAAAGATACAACTATCATAATTTCGTAGTGATTAAGTTACAAGATTCTTATTGTTATGTGTCTTATCTATAATGCATACTTTACAAACATGCTGCATTTAAAATTAAATAACATCACAAGTATTAATAAATATGTACCTTAATAAATATGAAGTTAATTAAGCAATGGTTTTACAGATACGTATACACAAAAACTAAAGTAGTTATGAAAACTACTTTAGTTGGTATTTAAGTCGGCTTTTACACTTGGTTCTGCTAAAAAAATTGTTGTTGGAAAAGCTGATTAACCATGCCTTATTTATACGTCAAAAGTAAGCTTATCGTGTTGTCGGTCACCCTGACCATATAATTCGCAAAGTAGTCCATCTTAACCCCATTCAAAGAAGTTTCTACAGAACTCACGACTTCCAAGTTGACATATTTTGGCAGCAGACACCTCAGCGCTCTCCGTTTATGTACTTGTTCTCTCCATGCTTCAATCGCATCTCGCGAAGGAACCCGTTCGACGCGGTGGACGACAACGCGGTGAAGTAGATTGCAAATATTTCAATCCACACGCACAGGAGGATCAATGCGACAGGAAAACACCAGGATAACCGACATTTCATTTCCCTTTGCCAACTCGGTGATCATGCTGTACAACGCGCCCATTGACATGACAACGAGGGTCACGTGGTGCAGACAGATCGCGACGAAGTTACGTGCTATCTCGGAGTACAGCATCATCACGTGTCGGAGGCTGTTGTACACGTGGAAGGCCGTGTCGGAGGCTGTTGTACACGTGGAAGGCCGTGTCGAACGGCAGTTCGACGTCACCCCTTGGTATCATGGCCAACGTCCAGACGTACAAGGTGACCACGCCATAGCCCGAGATGAGGATGCCATCGTGGCCATTAAGAAGGCACCACCGAGAGAGGTGGGAGCTCCAGAGAGCAGGATTATCAGAACTGTGCTAAAATTTTGAGAGGATTTTGAGCGGATTTTTACGATGTGGAACTTGCGGAACTTGTGGAACTTGCTTAGAACGTTCAAAATTGAGAGGATGGTTGTATACACAGGGCTGACGGGGAGACGGAGATGATCGCGAATATTAATGGCCCCATGTAGTAAATTTGGTAGAAGAAGGGGGTTATCAGCTTGCTGCAAGCCTTGGCGGCCGTAAGGGCGGCTGGGTTGAGGCGGTAATTTTGACAGAGCGCTGTAACCATTTCATTAATTAAATTAATTAGCTGCACCGCTACATAATTCCGGTTAAAATGCATTTGAGATTTCATGAGAATTTCTTGCCAGGGTTTTAACGGTTTTGGGAAAATAAATTTCGTAAAGTTTGCAAAAATTTCGGCTGTGAAACGTTGTAAATAACTATTTGAAATATTCCTTGAGTACAATTCTGCATTTGTACGTCTGCTAGAAAACCTTGCATGACTTCAGACAATTTCAGTTCGGTGTGTGTATTCTGCAGTGATATCTACGCATAATTATGCATCAATTTGCAACAAGTTTTCTCTGCATAAAATTATGATGATAAAAATGGTCTAAATTTGTGCAGAAAAATGGTCCAAATTTCTTCAGAAAAATGGTCCAAATTTGTACAGAAAAATGGTCTAAATCTTTGCAGAAAGCTGAACAGATTGGAGTTCTTTCGGCGTGTAACTACATGTCAGCAAATCCAAATCAACACAAGGAAGTGAACATCTTTGTTGACAATCGCAGTGTCCTTGACTCCCTACTAAGTGAGCGGCTGATGTCGTCGCTCACGGTGGAGCTTCATAGGGCGCTGCAACAACTTAGTACTCACAAAGATATTACCTTACATTGGATCCCTTCTCATTGGGGTCAGGGTTGCAAGTGGTATATATCACCTAGTGAGATTTAATGAGATTTAATGATTTATATCAATCATCTCAGTTGGGGCAGAGTGAGAAATATGAGAAATAATGAGATAAACCTGTAGTTCATGACCCCGTCCGCTAGGTGGCGCTAGTGCATGACTCACAAATCTCACTATATCTCATATTTCTCATATCTCACTATTTCTCATTATACCTCAGTGAGATGAGATTTATGCAACCCTGATTGGGGTTTATGGGGTAATGAAGACGTGGATAAACTGGCTAAAGAGGCTGCCAGTATGGCAAACTGCGGTCCAGAGCCAGTTATCCCGGCCAACTTAACAATTGGAAAATTTTCCATCAAACAGTGGGCTCAAAATGAACAACGGGTCTATTGGTCTAAATTACTTAAATGTAAGATATCAAAGTTGGTCCTGCCAATACCTTACGAGGGTCTCAGTGGGAAGTCACTGGGGCCCACGAGGGGTGGTATGATGCTAACAACTTTTGCCATCACAGGACATTGTAATTTGAATGGGCATCTGTATAAGATGGGTCTAGTTGAATCTCCCATCTGCGAAAAATGCGGGGAAGGGGACGAGACAATGGCCCATATACTTACGGACTGTCCCGGTTACAGTGCCTTGAGATTTAGTACCTTCCTTCGTTCCACCTTAAGGATGGAGGAAGTATGGGAGTATCCTCTCAAAGATGTACTGGCTTTTAAGGTCTGGTAGATTCGCCAGCTTTGTAGCTGGGGAATCGAGAGAGGCTCCGACACAATAATCGCATGCGAGTGCATTGAGGTGTCTGCAATAGGTCCAAGTGGTGACCTGCGCGGCTGGACTGCTGCCCCCATGGGCCGGATTCCTCCTCACATAATACATACATTTCTGCAGAAAAGTGGTCCAAATTTCTGCGAAAAATGGTCCAAATTTCTGCGGAAAAATGGTTGCAATTTTTATATGTGAATGTCCAAAAAATATGTATGGTAGGATTCAGCTCGAGCAAAGCACATTTATGTACCTTCAGAGCGCTTTTCCAGCTTCATGGTTGCCTGATACACGTACACATACTTTCTCGGGCCGGACGATTTCTTCAAATTCCAAACCATCGGGACGAAACCGGTCACGACAATCGTAGCCGCGTACGTGATCCCTGTCGCAGTCGGAGATTCTTGCCCAGGCGGTGACATCGCCAAGTGATAACTTCTCGAGAGAATGGCGGGCGCCAAGAAAAATATGAAAAGATAACAAATAATTTGGAAATTTCGATACTTCCTACCATTCCCGAGTGGGATGGCTTGATTCGTTTTGGTCTCCCATTCGAAACAATACGCTAAACGGAAGCAACTCCGCTGAATGACGAGGACGGCACGACGAAGATGTTTTAAGGCTTCGTCGTAATACATTTTTTACGAAAATTTTAAGGATTTCAGGATGGTTCACATCTGCACGGTTTAGTCGATGTACATAACTCACGGAATAGGAGTCGTTTGGAAGGTAAGATTTTTTTTGCCAAGGTTTTCACGTGGTCTTAAATAAATAAGTATTTTCATATTCTATCAAATGCTTAATAAGTTGTGGTAAATATTTACAAAGCGTTTGCAGCGTTGCAAACTTCCATGAACAGTAAATTTAATTGTCGAATTAAGTTATTGTTTTTTAGAATGTTTCTTTCTCCTTTTGGTTACTCGGAGGCCGCCCACATCTGTTTAAAAAGGTATCGCTAAGCATACTTAATGTACTTTTGCTAAAGTAACGATTCCAGTTAATAATTTAATAATGGATAATAGTGGATAATTTTATGTTTCCGGCAGTAATATTCTTGTTCAGGCGAGGTTGGAATATTTACCTTGGGCAGTAGATAGGAAAATGTGTGTCTTCCAGATAAAGCATTCGGCAAGTATTGATTAATATGTTATCTAGTTATGAATATATTTACCCATGTATATGTGCATACATTTCATATTTGGATAACCGAATCCGATACCGGCCTATTTCTAGTTAAATAAAATTGCATAGTTTTACAGCCAGGTGTATTTAGTAAGGACTACAGAACATTTTGGACATGGCTAATTATTTGCATAATTTTTCATAGTTATTTCTACAAATCGTAACAATGAGTAAATGGATACAACGTCAATAGTTGAATTTCTATTCGTACAAACAGTATTTTTTTCATGCTGTAAAAATGAAGCAGGTCTTTAAGGATGGACCCGATCAATCAATAAATCGATAAGTAATGAATTAAATCCATGTAAAATATTTTTCGTAAAAAAATAATTATTATATTTAACTGTATATGTATATGCATATATACAAAAATGCGATTTGTTATATATTTTAGTTACTAATTTATTTCTATAATCCGTCACATTCCTCGTCATCTAAATAATCAGGTTCAAGTTTGATGAATGGGTCTTCAATTTTTATAATTGAGGTGGAATCATCTTCTCTTTCATCGTACTCGATTTCAGTTTTGATCTTGCCCCGTTTTCGGGTCGTTTTAAGTTCCGAACGCCCCACTTTAGGTTGTGACCGCGGCTGGTTTTTCTTTGGTGCACCCTTTGGGTGAATAATTTGCCCCATTTTTTTCACTCTCTTATAAGTTCTTACTCTTTTTGGGACATATGTCACTTTCTCCGAGTCAGAGTCTGGGAGGATGCCATCCGTTATCTTGTTTCTCTTTGTCCTGTGCTTCGTCACCTCGATCCTAGCCTGAGCCTCGGCCGTCTCCCCGTTTGCCATCAATTTATGCGTTTCTGATCTCTCGTGTCGCCTGAGGTGCTCGGGCTGCCGGAAATTTATGTTGCACAGGGAACACGGGTTACTTTGAGTTATGGCGGCGTGTTGTCTTTTCACGTGGGCTTTAAGGCGTGCCAAGTTTTCGAACTCTTTCGGACACTGGGTGCACTTGCTTATCACATTTTCCCGGTGTACGGTTGCCACGTGGTGGCGGAGTGACCACCTTTCTTGGAATTGAGCGTCGCATTCTTTACACTTGCTGAGAGGCAGGGGTTGGTTTAGGTGCTTTTTGTGCACGTGGATCTGTGAGAGAGGAAAGTAAGTAAATTTTGAAATATTGAGGGTTTTCACGTCACCTTCTTAACTGTCGTAAATAGCGTAAATTTACGACATTTACGAAAATTCTATGCTTACGAAGCTTCGTAAATATACGCAAGGTTGAGGCATCTTTTTCGTTCGTAAAAAAAACTTTGTAAACATAAAAAATCATGATATTTCGAACACCATAGTTACCGCTGATATTAGGCAAGGAAAAATTAAAAACAATTTTTACGAAATATTTTTTACGAAGGGTCTTTCACGTCAACCAGTCGTAAATGACGTAAATTTACGAATATTTTTTTTTACGAATCCACAGTTACGAAGGTCGTGAAAACCCTGATTACCTTCAATGCGTTTTCGAAATATTTATGATTTTTTTTTTAGAAAATGGTGATTTTAAGGGAATATTCTAGAGAATGGGGATTTTAAGGGGGTTAAAAATTGTTCTTTTTAAATAGACCTGCATATGCATATTTTCAATTTTCATAATCATTTTCCAGGAATTTTGTAGTACCTTTAAGCTTGCAGCGGATGAGTACCCTGCGTCACATTGTCCACAGAGGAATTTATTTTCTCGGTGGACCTCTGTACTTGTAATGTGTCGCCACAAGGCTAATTTATCTTTAGCAAGATACCCACACTTCGCACATTTTAGCAGATTCTCGTCAGAATGGAATGTTGTCACGTGTTCCTCGAAAGTTGCCTGGTCAGGGAGGTTACGTAAACCGCAAAAGTCGCAGAGCAGGTCTTTCCTCGTGTGTTTGTAGGTGTGATGGTTTTTAAAGTAGGCGACGGAGGAGACCAGGACGGTGCACAAGGGACACTTAATTTTCCCATCGGAAGTCTGGATAACCGTTATTTCTTGTCCAAATGGTAACTCCACCGTCAGCTCGGAATCCTCGGTGAGGGACGACATCGAGGCTATAATTTAAAACAAAATTTAGTATTTTATATTTTTTGTAACGCTTTGTCCATCAGTGTGAAAAAAATGAGATAGAAATTAAAATATTTTGAATACCTTTCGCTATGTTTGTGTACCAAGGCTGGAACACTATCAGGTGGTCAGCCTTCAATTAATATGCAAATGGATAATTTCTTACACCCTGGGTTTTGGTGTAATATATATTTTTCAAAATTTATCAACATTTCTCACATGTTGCTTTAATTACGTGTAGTATGCAGAAGGACGACTTGTGTGAAGGAGAGAATCGAATTTGTGAATGATTTCCACCACCGACTCGGGAAGAGTTATGTCGAGTCGTAACGAGCAGCAGGGCATTGCGTAAAGGATGAGGTTTAATTTTGAGGTATGTAAAGTATGATAAACTACGGTAAATTATGTGTCATAAGAACTCTTGGATGATCTCAGCATTGCATGGAAAATGGATTAGGCAATTATCAGGGTTTCGATTGGTAAAAGCCAAATTGACCAGGGCAGCGGGAAAAAGTGGGAAAAAGGCATTTTTACCACCCACCCAAAATAGATGGGAAATGGGAAAAATGGAGGAAATGGGAAAAACTCTGGTTTTGGGGCTATCCGAAACAACTTCTTTAAAACTTAAGATTTTCAAAATTTGACTTCAAATTCGTATTCTCCTTCAAATTCTGAGAAAATAAGTGTGTAATACGGCTCAATTCAAACAATCTTTAACATTCATATGGAAAAATTGGAAAAACAACCAATTTTGGTCAAAAGTGCCCGTATTACATATCAAAATTTTCAGAAATTCGTGGAGATGACGAATATGAAGTCCAATCCCGAAAATATTGATTATCAAAGAAGCTAGCTTTCCCCATAACTAATTACAAGGGCAGCCATATTTTCCCATTTTGGACGGTAAAAATGGTTTGTTTCCGGTTTTTACCACATTTTCCCACCTGCCGTGGTAAAAAATCGTTTCTGACGGGAAAAACGAAATCCTGGCAATTATAAATTTTGAAATTGCACACATTTTCATAATCGCCTCTCGTACATTACATACTTACCTATTTCTTTAAATTAGGTATGAAATTTTAACTGATCCATGAAAAATATGTCGCAAATTTCCACGAGGGCGAATTTTGTGTCTAGAAAGTAAATTACAAAATTTAGCATAGAGGTTGCATTAATTAAAGATTTTGACATACATTAGCTCAACTTTTTATTGACAAAATTGTTTTTACGGTGTTTCCACAATGGACACATATGTACGTTGTTTGGCAACATATTGATATGCGTAATAGCTTTATAGGTAAATTTTACGAACAAATGTTTCAAATCACTCTGAAACATAATGATACCCTTTGGAAAAGCAAATGCAAGGCAATACATGTTTACATTTCATGCATTCATCCTATTACAATTCCGACGTAGCTGGAGAAAAGGTTCCACTATGAGGTTTGTTTTATCGACCATTTGAAATGCTTGGCATGTCTGCCAGTCGAAGACTGGCTTCTCTGCTAGTGTTTATTCATTAAGTTCAGAGTCCTAAGTAAAAATGGGTAAAATTGAAAAAAAGAGGATAACAGAACTAAAAGGTAAATTTTGTTCAATGTTGAGTAAAGTTTACCTCTTGGTTGTGCTATCCTCTATTTTAGCCAACTTTGAGTAAATTTTATTCCTTTTTATTTAGTGTGTAGGTAATAATTCGTTACTGGTATGACACAACAACGTTACCAGAGATTGTTAAATAAATACAATTAAACAAATTTGCATACACCCTTAGAAATGTTTAGTTTTAGCCTTGATTTCTAAACACTCACCAGCATGATTTTTGTAGATTTTGCAGTTCTTAAAAATGTTCCCATTCTTAACGATATAATTTATGTAACCTAACCTCACCCTGAGGAGGAGAGTCATACTAAAGACAAACATCGAATAAAAGGGGGGTTCTCGGTCAACAATTGGCACACAAAAGTTGTTTTAAACCAGTCTCGTATTTGCATACATCTATTTAACAAATTGTTATACAACAAATTGTTCACATTCGGTCACGAAATGTTCCAGATTAGGGATTTCGTAATAGCCTCCACAATTCGGGGAGCAGGACCCTCTCCAAGGTCAATATCTACCCGCAATTTCCTCAATTTCGGAAACACCCTCCCCCCAAAGGAAGGGAAGTCCAGGGCATGTTCAAGTCCCCTCGAACAGAAACAAATTCTAACTCCTGTAAGTTCGTGGACGCCGACTGGACAAATTTTGTGGCGAGTTCGTGCTGCCAACGGAACTGATCTCCGTGGGGAAACTCAACAGAAATCGATTTCAAATTGTTGGTTTGTGGAAATACTGAGAAATCCAGGAATTCTGCCAGACGGTTGTCCGAGTTGGATGGGATCAACAGGGTGACTTGGGTGGGGCAGAATTTCAGCTTTTCGACAACCCCCAAAATGTATTTAGGTATGCATTATATACATACATACGACACAGATGAAACAGTTATAAATACAGGTTATGATAAGTGCGAGTTGCACATACATAGTAAATGAGTACACCCTAAATAAGCCGTTAAACGCATGTAACGAACGGCTGAAACCGAGAAATTTATTTAATAATTGGATTACACGGAAAACTCGAAGAAAAAGAATGTTTTATTTTGTCAATATTTCGAATGCAATCTGCTATTCATTATCAAGGTTTGAAATAAAGAAATTTATAAAAACATTTTGAGGTGACGCATGTATCAAATTTAATATTTGGTGTCAGTTAACAGTTAACAAATAATAATTATCTTCAAGGTCAAAATGGAGGTCACCACTGAATTTGGGATTGAACTTCAGTTAAAATTGACATATATATCAGATTTAACGTTTAGTGACCTTTCAGTGACCTTTGAGGTCAAAACGGAGGTCACCATAGGGTTGAATTCAGGGTTAAATTGAAATACATGTGCCATTTGACTCCTACGTGACCTTTTGACCTTGACAGGTGTCAGTGCCCATGTTCGAACTTGATGTTTGCTCTTATATATTCATTTGCTCTTATTTATGTATATTCTAAATTTCAAGTCAATATATTAAGCTGTTCTTGAGTTATCGCACGGACAGACAGGTAGACGGACGGACATATCAATCTTATAAATGGATGTCACCTTAATAAATAAGAGTTGTGCTAAACCTACCCAAGGTTGAGTAAAATAAGAGAATAATACAAGAATTGGGCAAAATTTACACGGCCGTTGGAGAAATTTTATTAAACCGTTGGAAAAATTTTGTACAACGGTTAGATAAATTTTACCCACTTTTGTACCATCCTCTTTTTACTCAACCTAGGGTAAATTTTCCACAACTTTTATTTAGAGTCTAGAAGATGAGCCAGCCTGAAATGTACTATAGCTACATGGTCCGAAGCTTGTGCAAAATGAAAATTTAAGTATTTTTAGGCTCCATGATAAACTTAACGATGAAGTAGTACAGGTTTCCATAAAATAGGGGTCTATACCTCCTATTGTGCCTATGCGACACATGTTAAAGGGGGATAATCGTGATTTTTGCATTACATAATTTGTAAACGGTCTCTTAACCAGGTTTTACCAGGTTTTAGTTTTACTTAAATTACCGGTAAAGGGGCAGGGATGAGATGCTTATCGATGAACGGCCCTTTACTAGGGTTTAACTGGGGGGTTTCGTTCAAACCACATTCTAAAAGTTAAAAAAAACTATCTCATGTCGGACAAAGTTATTTCAAGAAATTTATTTTCTTAACATTGTACAAATGTGAAATATTTAAATCAACAATGAAAGGTTCCAGTTGCTTAAAAAAAACCTAATTTCGAAATGCAAAGAATTCTACTCTGGTCCGGTGTTGGACGTGGTCGCCTCCTTTGACTTCCCTTGAGCCTCGAACGCTTCAATTTGATCGTGACAGATCAAATTTTCCCCCTCCTCCCAAGTGTTGTCCTCCCTGCGATGTTAAACATGAGTTTCATTAACTATTTATCTAAATAGTTAAATTCTAATCATCCCTCACTTTGTATAAAGATAAACAAATTTAACAACAGGATGGCGCAACAATTGGCTAAAATCTGTCCAACGGTTTGTAAAATTCGCATAACTTTTGTAGAGTTTGTTCAGCTGATTAAATCGTATTTGTCAAACATTGTATAAAGTCTGTGTCAAATCTCGGTAAAATAATTTTTTTTTAAATTTGTGAAAGTCGGTGCAGAATTTGCGCAAATTTTTTTTTGCATAGATTGTAAAGTCTGTGTCAAACTTGTGTCAAATCTCGGTAAAATAAAATTTGTTTAAAATTTGTGAAAGTGGGTGCACAATTTGTGCAGAAATTTTTTTGCACAGATTTTACACAGACTTTACTTGCAAAATCGGTGTGAAATTCGGGTAAAATTAGAATAAAATCAATGTAAAATTTGTTTCAAATCGGTGTAAAATTTGTATAAAATCTGTGTAAAACTTGTGTAAAATTTATGTCACATTTGCTTAAAATACAAGTCATACTAACACGTAAACTCACTCTTCATGGCCCTTCCACTTTATCAGATATTCCGTCGCCCCATCCACAACTCGCTTATCGAGAATCGCCTCCACAATGTATCCCTCTCGTTCCTCCACGGTAGCGGGGCCAAGAGCCATTTCCACCTATAATTACCTAATAATTAAATAAAAATGGAAAACTCACTTTTCAAAAATCACTCTTCCCAAGAAATTATTAATTCATGATTTATTTAATTCTCAATCCCCATCATTATCTCGCTAGAAATTTCCCAATTCTACTGCCGACTTTAATTCAACAATAAAAATCGACTGGTATTATTAATTACAGAACTTCAGCAATTAAAATTTACTAATTAAATATGCGTTATTTCAATCAAGCTTGAACTTTGTGAATAATGAAATGAACTACAAAAATTGTAACCTGCTTAAACTTGGTGTTTGCCTTGCACGTCCTTAATTGGTAAAGACTTGGTGACAAATGTAAGAGTCAGTCACACACCAAGATGGCGAATTTGGTCTGGGTAGGAACTCCAAGCCTCAGCATCCGGTCACAGGGATTGACACCACTGCGGTAACGACGGATGTCCTTATCTCGCTCTGGTTATCTGCTGTGGTGAATTCGTTAGTCTCAACTCACTCTTAAAGAACATTCATATGAAGCAACCATCCATTGCATATTCGGTATAGGGCACACATGCCACACTAATTAGCAATTTTTGTGACAAGAATAATCAACTTTATATAATTTTACGACTTCCTCTCTTATATGTACATACATAATGCCAGAATTTATTCCATTGTTTGCAGGCTTGGGCAAGATAGATACTTTAAGATACAAGATACAAGATACTACTCATATCTTGTATCTTCCAGCCACCTCAGCTCAAAGTATCTTGTATCTTGTATCTGGAAAATCCTCAATGAGTATCTTGTATTTGTATCTTGTATCTGATATTTTCCATCCAGAGGAAAGTATCTAAGATACTTTTTAAGATACAAGATACTTTTGCAAAATATGTTACCCGCGACATCTAAAGTTCGCTTTTCTTATGATTTATGAGGTAGTAATTGTAATTTTTAAGAAAATATGGGATCACAAAAATGCAAATTTTATTAAAATCCGAGCAAAATTGGATTTTTGGTGACATTTAAAGCACATGAAAACAGGGCTTTTTTCGTGTTTTTGGCGCCTTTGAGTGGGTGTGGCGGGCACAAATGTGGCCATGGAGTCAAACGACTTCAGGGTTTTAGTACACTCATAGGACCCTACCACATATCAAAAGGGCATCGAGATCTGCGAAGGGCAGGTGGCGAAGCTCTCCTCCGGAGTGCTAAGAGTGGGATACCCCATTGTACAAAGAACAAGGAGAATTTTACTTCTTGCAGTTTAGCAATTATACATACATAATTTGGTTTGTTAAGCCACAGTTACTGTGTTCATGTATTCCACTGTTTTATGTACGTACATATTTACTCTTCAATCAGCTTGATTAGAAAAGAGATCATTGATTAGAGTAAATATTTATTGTTATGTTACGTTCCGCAGGTTTTATATAAGTGCATGCATAACTTATCTTGTCAGCAAGAAATACGAATTCGTCAACTCGTTAAATAAAATCATGATAACTCTTTAACACCTAAATTTCTCCATCAATCCTTCAGTCGGTTCGATTTTTCGATAATCGATCACTTTATCTGACACGATTACTTCGTGCATACGTGGAAATTCCCCCATATCCAAAGCCAGCCACTTGAATATCTACACAGGTGCGACTCAAATTTATCAACGATTATCGTCACAAAAAAGTGAATCTGGAGCGTTCAATCGGACATAAAAGGGCGAATTTCTCACATTTATTCTGCATTTCATTACAACTAAACCAGCATTATGATGAAGTTGCTGCTCATTTTCGCTGCCACGTTAACCGTAGTTCTCTCCGGTAGTGTCGACCCCTCCCTTACAAAAGGTGTTGATCTTGGCCTTAATACCGTCGCGATTCTCGAACTACCCCAAATTGTGGGGCAACTGGAGACCAACCAAGCCCTTCAAACGCTCTTCGGTGACGCCAAGGTTGCCACCCTGGTCGCCACTTTGAAAGGACTCACGTCCGCTGCGCAGGCGCCGTTCGTCTCAATCGCGGCGTCTCTTGGGCTTGAAATTGAGCAATATTGGATTTCCAATGTCATTCTGGTTAAGGGATTGACACTCGAAAAATTAGACACATTGTCCAAAACTCCGGGTGAGTTTATCCTCCGGAAACAACATATCGTCACCATTGACCATATCCGGTCTGGACGTGAGGAGATTTCGAACAATTTGACGGTACAGAACCCACAATGGGGCGTGGCTAAAATAAGAGCACCGGAAGCATGGAATCTGACCACGGGGGAAAACGCGGTGGTTGGCTTTATCGATACCGGTGTTAATATTGGCCACGTGGCGTTATCAGATGGCTACGCAGGTGCGTGGATGGACCCATATTATAATACGCCCACACCGACGGATGTGCAAGGTCACGGGTAAGTATAATTAAAACTGCCTTTTTCATTTGCATAATTACAGCACGATGAATAAGTAATAGTAGATGATAACAATTCTATTTCAGCTATTTCATAACAGATGAATAACAATAACAACTTTAATACTTTTTTTTCAAAATTTTTGAATGAATGAACATCAAATGTATATTTATTCCCTAATATGTATACTTAACAAGATTGAACGAATACTTGTATTCGTTATTAATTTGTCACTATGCTTGATACAAAATCATGTATTTATTTTCAATTTAGATTAATTGAATAGTCAGTTAGTAATTTCCAATTTTAAAATTTATTGAAATTTGAATGAAGAAGTATTTTATGAACGGATAAGATGACAATAATCTAATTTCTCAATGAAACCCCGTTTTAATCAAATTAAGAAAAGTATAAACTACGGATGGGGAATTTCATAAACTTAAGATTCCGTTGATCTACATCGAAAATTGTGCACGAAATTTAGCTGATTATATAAATCATTATAATTGTAGCTCATTTATCGCTGGAATCGTTGTCGTGCGTGCCAACGGGATCGGTGTCGCCCCTGGGGCGCAATACATTGCCTGTCGCGGAATGAACAATCAGGGGTCCGGAACTGAGGCGGCTTTAATTCAGTGTGCCGAATTCATGGTGACGGCCACCCCTCGTCCCCAAGTTGTCCCAAACGCTTGGGGTGGTGCATCTGGAGCCTGGTTTGAGCCAATAATTTCTGCCTGGCGAAGCGCGGGAATCATTCCTCTCTTCGCCATTGGTAATTCTGGGCCTAACTGTGGAACGATTTCGGCTCCAGGAAGTCACGCAAGCGTTATCGGTGCTGCTGCCACGTCAGACACGGATGCTGTTGCCACTTTTTCCTCGCGTGGACCAGGCGCTGGAGGTGTACTTAAGCCAGACTTTGCCGCGCCTGGTTCAAATATTTTATCGGCTGGGACCGGAGCGGGAAACTATGTGACCATGTCGGGAAATGGAGCGGTATGGACTTTTTTCAATAGATCTGTTGTTCGATTTAGCACGAAGTAACAGGAAAATTTTATTATCTCAAGGATATTGCGAATTACGCTTTGCAGAGTAATCTCTCACGAAAATGCTACTCGTCTCATTTATTTATTTTGCAGTGTAAAAACCTAAATTCGCAATCTCCTTATTAATATTTTTGCAGTAAATATTCGAGCTATCGCTGAATTTATCATTGGTGAAATATAGCGTTTACGTGCAGATTTAGTGTAGAATCCCTCAAGAAAGTCTCAATCACCATAATTTCAGGGTCCACACACCGACGGTGTGTATGGCAGAGAGATAAGTCCCCAGCACGGATTTGTCAAATTTGAATAAATAAGTGTCATTGATCCCCGAGTAGAATGTTATTGGTCGCATTGCCTTCAACGTCTTTCTGAAATACAGATCCCTTTTCCCTCCCTTAGCCACGTGGTTCTTCCAAAGTCGCAAAATCTCTGCGGAATCCTGATTCAACCCGATTGCCACGGGTAACAAAGCCTGCATCACGAGAATCAAGAGACTCGCGAGTATTGGGAACATGGCGTAGTACATGAACGGCATGTCGTAGTCGAGAAACTTTATCGTGGCGAAGTTTAGCGTGGCTGATAACGCGATCCCAACCCCCATCAAGAGAAAACTTTCCGTTGCCATCAGGTCGGCTGGAATAATGACGAAAAGTTGAATCCTTTTGAAAATGAGGATAGTCTTTTTGTCAAGAGTTTTCCCGGTTCTAGAAATTTTGTAAGGACTTTTATAAAAATTGCGTTAAGGTTACATTGGATGATGTGGGATCGATTTGTAATCTCGCTCAACCCTTGTGTCAACCTCAATGTCTTGGATAATTGGGGTTTTTTCAAGCTGTGCCGGAATTGTCTGTCTAACGAGTTATGACAAAATAAGCAAGCTAAAAAATACACGTTTTTATATAACCTTTCCGATGAATGGCCTCCTTGAAGAAAAATATTGGAAGCGGTAAACGTAAATAAAGATAAATTTTGGTTAGGTTAATACACAGAACTATACTATTATATCTAGAAGGCGTACTGGACGAGCGATAGTAGCCACGTTATGAGCGCCCGTCGTGGTCCTCAACCAAACTAAATAATACACTGGTGTATTGCACACCAGCGCCACGGGTGGTTGTCTCGAGCAATGTAATACACAGATGGGTATGTGCGCCACCGTCGCTCCAGTTGAGACACTACTTTGCATCTCAAATCAGCAGGGGAGACATACCCATTGGGTTAATATTAAATATTAACCTTCACGGGGCGAAAATCAAGTTAAACGTGTGAACTTTGACATATCTAAAGCCTATTGATATAGATATGAACAGTTGTAAATATTTAGTTCAATACAAAATCGTGAAATTGATGCTGTTTTAGAAAATTTGGTATTAAACAGGGGCAGAGTGAGACTTAAAATCAGTGAAGGACTAATTCCTTCTTAACGACTTAATGCCTTACCCAAGTTGTGGCGCATCCTGCAAAAATTTTGCAATACTTTTCACCATCAATTGTAACGGCATTGCGAGGAAGATGACGATGAAAGGGAGCGACCTCTGGCATGCGTTGAAGAAGGTGTAAGACAGCGGGGCCCGGATCAAGATGTCCGCCACCCACACGATTCGATTCCCCAGGATGCCCCATCTTTCCCATAGGACGTGTCCACAAACGTCCGTCCTACGCAGTATGACCATTGGGAACACAACGAAGCGAGTAATCAGGTTGGTGGATATTAGACCAAAAAAGTACAAGATGCCTGGAGAGAAAATAAAAAGAAGAGAAAGACGTTAAACTTATAAACCTTATACAAAGGTGACGCTTTTATGAATTGTAAAGTTTTTACACCTATTTTATCCAGTTTGTCATCCGTCGTGTATATTTTGGGTATGCCGAATATTTCCAGTATCGAATCCATCCTTGTTTTCGTGGTCTTGGTTTCAACTGTTATATGTAGTGACACATTAATGAGGTGAGCTGGATACTAAACTATTCTGGGGTATTTCATATTTTGGGGAGCATTTGTAATTTCGAATCACAATTTTACTTTACAGGATTAGTGGGCCGAATAGTTGACATTACTGGTGTAAAACTTCAATTTATTATAGCAAAGTGAACATCGCTAAAGATAACAAATATTTATATAAGAGAAATATTCTCCCAAAATGTACTAATTGGCTTTGTTCAGGTCAGTAGCAGAATTATAGATTCGGGGCCGGTATGTGAGCTGGGTATGGGGGCCTAAATCTAAGTTAACCGTGCTGGGAGAGTGAATTTAAAAAAAAAATGATGTTAAGGGACCATTTATGGAGCGAAAGGAAAACGGGTCCGTAATTGGGTTTCTCCACAGAATTACCGATCCGTTTTCTATTCTGTCCAAAAATGAGCGCTAAACATCATTTTTAAGAAATTATTTTTGTGCCTGTGTCCCAGGCAGCCTTAGCTGTTTTTCAAGAGTCTATTTTTTCTGAATTTCAGCTACGAAGTTTTATACAACACTGTAATTCTCCTATTTAGTATAAATGGTTCGGAAATAGTTTCTCCCCACTTACTCCTGCCAGAAAAACCTAAGCTTACTCCTCCTCAAAACTTTGTGACATCGATAAATAGTATTCGTTATTTCTACTCAAGCTTTTCATATGCACCTATGACGTTCCTCTTCAATGTATTAAAAAGAATCTACATATGTACATCTTACCAACATTTTCACTGTGAATTTCTTCATCAGCCTGAAGGAACTGGTTGAGCATGAGTACATCATTCTGCCCAGTTAATAGAATAACAATTCCTGTCCCAGTCAGGGTTCCAGCCGCTATGAAAACTATGCCGTATTGAAAAACGTGCGCAATGCCGAGACCCGGTCGCGGCGAGAGTAAATGCCAGCCGATCACGTAAATACAGGAACCCCCCGTTATGACTGGGATTAAGACAAATAAGGAGAAATACCAACGAAAGAATTTCCACGGAGATGCGTCATTGTACAGGAGCCGATTTATACTCGGATCCCACCCGATCGGAGTTGGTGGTAAGTGACGATTTAGTCGAAAGAAGTTCTTTACGGCGTAGGAGACTAGTGGAGTAGGCATCTTGACCAATTTTACTCGACTAAGAAGCTGGTATTAAATCTTTACTGGCGGATTAACTGGCAAAAACAGTAAGAACGACCATTACCGTTCGGTAATATCTATTTACTAATGTCGATGAAGAATTTACCATTCAGCAATGAAACAAATGACTATCATTCCGGGCGCAAAGTACAGTCAAGACAATACCAGAGGAATCCGTGACTTTACCGGATTACACTTCATTCCGTGTGGTCAAGACTAGTTTGGATTAAGAGTTTTGGATATTTATGCATATATTTATAAATGTATGTAGTTTGTACCGACGAATTTAGACCCAATTTAACAATTTCAGTCTTAATTCGTGGTGAAATTAAGTGATGGTAACCTGTTTGCAAATCCAAGAAATTGGATTTTCAAAGCTTTAATTACTAACTAAACCTAATACCAAGTAGCTAGACACATAGGTAAAAAGATGTATATCTATGTATGTGTAACTTCGAAAAAAGTCTAATTCTCAGTCTAATCCTCAGTAATTCCATAGTTTAGGTACATACGTAAATTGAGACAACGTATGGAAGGAAGTCGTCATAAATACTTGATTCAGTGAAGAAAACATATTATAGAATTCGATTAGTATTTACAAAAGCAAGGATAATTTAAACATTTTAGAATTGAGAATACTTTCGTATGAATTTGTAATCCTGTTTATTTCAGCAATATTGACAACTTATAAGCTTTTGTTTGTTTCATATGTAAGAGTAAATCCTTATCTTAACGAAATTTTCGATTAATTTTTAATCCTATACTAATTTTTGGCATGGCATTAGAAATTGGCTTTCCACAATGACAAATATCTACGCAGGATATTAACATATATATTAACATATGTATATAAACATATGTTAACATATATGTAATATGTAGTTGAATATCCTGAATTATTAAATGTTGTTTTTTTTCAAACGTTGAGAAAAAAATTTTTGCCTTAGCAATGAGCAGTTAGGTATTTTATTTTATTTCATATGTATGTAAATATGTATGTAGTTCATCTCATAATTTTCAAATAGGAGAAGGATATCGCTTCCTAACAAACATAGATATTTATTTATGTTGACTAATTTAGCTGAAACGTATGTGCCCAGCGTGCCTGAAGAAGGTTATCGGAGCCTGGTTTGGTTATTGTGTCATATGTAGATCTGAGAGTGTCTTCATGTAAAAATTATGACGCATAACAGTAAAAATGCAAATAGACTATGTATGTAAATAGACTATTTAAAACAACCTTTTTCCAAGCTTCACACACATTTTCAGCATTTTCCGGTGAGTTCAAAAAGTAAACCGAAAATTGCTATACAATTCCTAATTTTGTGCTTGCTTTTTTGATTCACTCACGAGAAAATCTTGGTGTGGCTAGGAAAAATGTTCCAAGTTCACATTGTCTCAAGGTATGTAAATTTGTATGCATAATTGTATCGGTATTATCCGTATGTGTCTAATTGTACAAACAATGCATAATTTAGACACACACAAATCACTAAACACAAATCAAATAAACCGTTACCACGCATGTAACCAAGGGGTGAAAGAAGTGTGGTATACGTCAAAGTGAATTTCATGTTATGTTCGAAAATTTGTTAAAATTTACACATCTGACGTGTTTTCAACGTTTGTATCTCAGATGTGTCAAATTTAACAGTTGATAACCATAATATGACTTTTCGTGACCTCTGAGGTCAAAATAAAGGTCACCATTGAAATCAGCGTCAAATTTCCTGTTAAATTGACATATGTATGCCCTATGACCTTCAGATGACCTCTGAGGTCAAAATGGAGGTCACCATTAAATTCGACGTTCAAAAATAGTTAAAAATGATGTTTCACATGTCAAAATTGACACGTGACACTTTTTCGTCACTTTTCGTCACTATGACGACGTCATCGTCACATGTGACGTCCAAACGTAAAATGACATTAATTTTCGAAATCCTCATTGAAAAATAGTTAAAAATGATGTGTCACATGCCAAAACTGAAATGTGACACTTTTTCGTCACTTTTGGTCACTGTGACGATGTCATCGTCACATGTGACGTCCAAACGTAAAGAGATATGAATTTTCGAAATCCTCGTTGAAAAATAGTTAAAAATCATGTGTCACATGTCAAAACCGAAATGTGAAACTTTTTCGTCACTTTTCGTCTCTATGACGACGTCATCGTCACAGGTGACGATGTCACGGTGTCCATCTTCGAACTCGTCCTGTCCCTTGACGTTAGGAGTTAACGTTCAAAATTTCAAGTCTCTATGTCATTCCCTTCAAAAGTTATCGGACCAACGGAACGACAGACAGACGGACAGACGGACGGACATAACGATCTTATAAAGGGCTTTCACCCCTTAATAAATGAATAATTTAATAAGTTGTTAGACGCAGTTTAAGAAGCATGTTAGACACATGCTTCTCTGGGCGGTATTGTCAATACCGCCCAGAGAAGCATGTGTTTAACCAATACCGTATTGACGTCATGGGCCGGATATTTGTGAAATATGACACGAGAGATTCTTACTAGGAAATGTTGGAGTCATTCCCAAATTCAGATACAAATATTGATAATGTGCTAAAACATGAAATGTGTGTATGCAAATCAAGAAAGTGCTCATGATACCAGGCACGCATGCAAATAGACTTTAATTTCCACCCGGTTTCTCTGAAATGTATATTTGTTTGTCCACAAATAAAGCAATTTCAACATTTTAAACTTAAATGTGCGTTTTTCCAAGGTAAACTTCATATCGAAGCAGAATGCTCTCAAAAATAGGTAGTTTCTTAATTCGTCCGTATACATTAAATTAGAATTATAATTCAAAAATGAGTCTAACATCCATCCAAAATTTAATTCAGCTTCAATTAAAATTGATCTCTGTAATGATCAAGTCGCCAATTTGTATCAAAATTAAACCACTACAAAGTACGGTTTCAACGGTAAAATTAAGTTTTGGGACAAAAATTAAACTTGTGGTTCTCGTGGCATACGCGATATTTATTTTATTACATAGTTTCTGGCAAATCAAAAAATTACCGAAAAATACTGATCCAACAATTTTCGCGATTATTGGGCTATTTTCGTCCGGAATTTTTATAGGGATTCATATGTTGGTGAACACCTTATTCTTCAAGAGGGACGACGTTGCTACACAGTTGAACCTGATTTTGAACTATGAGCAGCAAAATTTGTGCAAAAAATTTGTCAGTGGAAATATTCAAAAACTATTTAAAGGGGTCGTGTTCCTGTTGGGGTCAGGATTTC